AAGGAATCATCAGGCGAACACACAGCCCGTATTCATCGCCCGTGCTATTGACGAAGAAGGCCGACGGAACCTATCGATTTTGCATCGATTTCAGAGAACTAAACAGGGTGACGGTGAAGGATGCATTCCCGATGCCTCAGATGGAAGAAATTTTCTCAAGCCTTCACAGTGCGAAGCAGATATCTCTGATTGATCTCCGCTCGGGATATTGGCAACTGCCGATCGCAGAAGAAGATCGCCACAAGACGGCTTTCAGTGTCAATGGCCAGCAGTATGAGTTTTTGAGAATGCCGTTTGGATTGTGCAACGCCCCGGCTACATTCAGGCGTTTGTTGCTGATGGTCCTCGCGAACCTGCAAGGTGTGGTTGTGTACGATGATGACATCATCGTCTTCTCTGAGACGGAACAGGAACATGTGACCAGACTTGGAGCAGTACTGCAGAGACTGGATGAAGCTGGTCTGAAACAGTCGTAAAAAGTCGCAGATTGGCCAAAAGTCAATTGTATGCTTGGGTCACATCGTGGGCAATGGTCAAGTCCATCCACTTCCGGAGAAACGCGAGACGATCAAGTGCTTCGCAAAACCAAAATCCAAGCGTCAGCTCCGTTCGTTCTTGGGTGTGGTGGCATATGATTCAAAGTTTGTGCCCCAGTTTGCAGAGAAGGTCAGCCCGTTGTTAAAGCTGCTTCGCAAGGACGTGCCGTTCGTGTGGACAGCTGAAGCGGATCAAGCCTTTGACCAGCTAAAGGCATGCATAGCAGAAGCCCCGACATGTCTACGGCTACCCAATCCTGGTGAGAGGTTCACTGTGGCGGTCGACGCAAGCAACGTGGCAATCGGTGCGGTTTTGTCTCAACCGGCTGGGGTGGTGGAGTACGCGAGCAGAGTGCTGACGGGGGCGGAGCAAAAGTATTCAACAACGGAGAAAGAATGCTTGGCCATCGTGTGGGCGTTAGAGAAGTGGAGAAATTACTTACTGGCGAATGAATTCCGGGTCGTCACTGACCACAAACCGCTCTCGTGGTTGATGACGGCGAAAGACCCGCGGGGACGGCTTGCGCGATGGGCCTACCGATTGCAGGAATTCAACTTCACCATTGAGCACGTGGATGGTACGCAGAATGTATTGCCAGATATGTTGTCACGCCCGTGTTTGGACGACATCATGCCAGACCATGCTATACCGGTGCGTGCGTTCGCGATGGGGGAGAGGAACCTGCTGGGAGATCAAAGGACAGATGAATTCGTGAATGTGTTGTGCTCTCACTTACGGGCTGGCACCAAACCGGAGGCTACATCGGAGGAGGTGGAGGAACTCCTCAAGATCTGGGACAGGTTGAAGGTCGAAAACGATAACGTGTTGGTGGCGATAGACGGACGGAAAGTGCCTTTTGTTCCACCAAATCAGCGAGAACGTGTGATGCGCATAACTCATGATGGCGCCCATATGGGATTCGAGCGGGTCTTTGAATTGCTGCGGAGGCGAGTGTTTTGGCCAACCATGAGGAAGGACGTCGCGGCATACCTTCGGGAGTGCCCAAACTGCCAAACGAGTCGGGAGATGGAGTCCCCGAGACCGCCGATGCGATCGATGGAGGTTGGTGAACCACTTCAGTGTTGGGGACTGGACGTATTTGGGCCCTTACCAGTGAGTCGAACAGGAAACAGATACATTCTAGTGATGATTGACCACTTCACTCGATGGGTGGAAGCCATACCAATCAAGGACCAAACAGGCGAGACAGTGTCGCAAGTATTCGAATTCAATGTGCCTGCAAGGTATGGGATCCCACAGTCTATCATCACGGACCAGGGGCCCTGCTTCGAGTCAAGAGCGTTTAAGTCAGTGTTGGACAAGTGGGGCATCCAGAGACGGCGAACTTCACCGTACCACCCACAAACCAACGGGATGACCGAGCGGCTCAACCGGACATTGAAGACGTGGATAAACTGCACGAAGTTGGCATGGGAAGATGCTTTGCCTCAGGTTCTGACCGCGTATCGGACCAGCATGCAATCAACCACCAAGGTCTCGCCATTCGAATTACTGTTCGGCAGAGAACCACGGATTGCGCTCGATACTTGCCTACCGAACCAGGGTGAGTGGAAACATCCAGCTGAGCATCAAGAGCGACTGCGATGGAAAGCTAGAAGCGAAACCAAAGCTCGACAAGCGCGGAATAAGCGAAATTACGACGCCAGGCATGAGGCTCACAAGTGGAGGCCATTCAGGATTGGAGAACGGGTCAAGTTACGGAACAACGATCGGCCGGATCATGAGTTCAGAGAACGCTGGAAAGGCCCCTACACCATTATCGACCAGAAAGCGGGCAACTTCTTAATCGACTGCGGAGGAATGAAACGTTGGGTGAATGCTGCTCTCCTGCGACCATGGTACGAGAGGAAGGAAGGTCCTGGAGGAGGGGCGGGTGTAGAGGGGCCGCTTCCAAGAATGGCTCTGGGAAGCTCTTTGGAGCTAGCTGAGAGCGGATCGCGGAAGACGGCTAGCGACGAGCCTGGGCCCGGAACTACTGAGCGGGAATATGTGGACAGCGCAATAAATCAGACAAATACGCCGCTAGCGCAGCCCACAGGACCGAGGCCGAGCCGATTGACACAGCCCAGAACAAACAAGTCGAGAGCTCTCGAACGACTCCTGGCCGATCCAAATCGGGTGCAGAGAAGCGGAGATCGAGGCGAAAACAGGAAGGCGGATCTTCCAAGTCAGAGCTCCCGAGGCGAAAGGACTGGCTCGTCTCTAACATCCGTACCTGTGTTGCGTTGTGGGACGGAAACCTAGTCGATATTCGATGGCGCGCGCGAGACCCTCATGTGCCCATTTTCGGTGTGCAATAAACGTCTACCCCCTGTCTTGTCGTTCTCGCTACACAATGTAGTCGTGTTCCTCGACATCAAAGGTGTCTTCGATTCGGTTGATTGTTGTGCCCTTTGGAACCGTCTACTCAGGAAAGGTGTGCCTGAGAGGTATGGTAATATTATCCGAGCATTATACGTGCGCAGCACGCGCAGAGTGAGGGCTTACGGCAAGCTGTCGCCGCCCCACAATATAATAATAATTTTTCTTGTTGCCTAGTAACCGGCTGGTAGCTTATTGGAACCATGCCCATCCGTTGCTGGTAGCTCAACTGGCATGCAACTGTTGTATATAGTTTCTTTTTCTTTTATGTATTGCGGCACAGTAACTGAAGTGTTTCCCACCTCTAGCTAACGTGTATGATGATGATGATTTAACCACAATGATAGGGCTAACATGGAAACAGCCCGTTTTCTGAAACGATGAAGATACGCTCATTTCTTTTAAATCGACCGTTGCCTTTTCACTAGAATAACGCTTTTATCTACTGTGGATTTTGCAGTTATGACAGCCTATTGAGATGTTCTTCAGTCAGAGTGATCACAAGATCACTAATGGTGTTCTTCGCCCATTTTTGGAAACGGACTTTGATGTACTGCACGAAATTATCAGAGGGCGTTTTGTAACTAAATGAGTCCTTGTTCGGATCAAGCAACTTCGCTTCGACACTGTACCGTTAATAGAGTGTGGATTCGGGACCGTTTATTTGTGTGATACAAGTACTCTTAAGAGCACCTGCCGGTCATAAAATTTGGCATTTCCAATTATGTTACTTTAAAACATCCGCAGTGGATATTGTACAATGCTGAAAATGTACCCACTCGGGTACATAACATATTAACTTGCCTTAACTTGAACAGTTAGCAAAGCAGAAGCGCCCCAGGGAAAAAACCATCACTGACCAGGCTAGCGCAGTCGCTCCGCTACTTAATCCCTTTTCGTCCAAACGTAAGTGACTAGCTGGTTGTTCGCTGTGCATTCAAACTGAAGATTTTCGGAATAGCAGCAGCCTTGGAATCGATCCCTCTTCGTGAAAATACCGGTAACCATCATCATTTTGAGTAGATCGATGGAACAAATCACAAGAAACCTGGTATTAACGAAGGGTCGAAATCTCTATCTGCTCTCGGCATCCATGGATACAAAGCTCAACGACAGGTAGTGAATGCGCGAAAACAGAGGCCAAAGACAAAACAGAACATTAGCCAATCAAAAATGAAGCAATGGAGCATGACAAACGAAAAAGTGATTTGCCAAAAATGATAATTACAATAAGCAAAGATGCTACGACAAATTTTGCCAAGAATGTTGTGCATGTCCGGTTTTGTGAAGAAATCTGTAATCGTCTCGAAATTCCATGTTTTTTCTGCAATCAAGATGGTGCAATCAGCAAGGTTGCTTGATCAGGCTTACTCGCGATAGACTACCTAAAAGAGCAAAAAGGGAGCGCCGGAAATCAGCCAAGCGTCGCTTACTTCCGCCTGAACCCATGTGACTGCCAAAAGCAACTTTTATCTCGAACAACTGGTACATTAAGAATAATGTGTCAGCTGTACGCCGTAACGAGGCTTCGCTGCCGCTCGACCAACGCAAGTCGTGCGCGGACTGAGTGTATCGCGAGGACGCCCACTCATATGCGGATTCGAACCGGAGGCTTTATGGTTGCAAACCAGGCGCGCAGACCGCTCGGACACCGACCGACGATTGCTAATCAGTGAGTTGATTTAACACTGGGAATTTAAACGAATAGACAAACATTCAATTCATGTTAAAAGTATCATCCGTGACGTCACCTACTGGTATGAGGTGCTTGGTCCAGAAAATGAGATAGCCATGATGGCTTGCTTGCTATATCCCGCCACCAATCCACTCATGACTGTGTGCAAAGCGAATAATTTTCATATCGACGTTTTCCGCATAAGGTGGCAAAGAACGAACAAACGAGGAGGACCTGTGCATTGGGAGGCAGAGCTCGGCGCCATCAGTTGTCGAACCGCACAATCACGAATTCGAAAAGTTCTAACATGTGCGGGCTCGGCAAGCGCGCGCGTATGGGGCGCCTAAGGATCTCGGTGTTTGTGTAAAGCATCTGCTGCCTACACATTCCAAAACATATCAAAATGTTAAACGTATGTACACTTTTACTGATAGAGACAGTGTGTGCTGACAGGCAATCCATCAATGTGAAAAATCGTTCGAAGCAAAAGCGTGAAGATCATACGGTTCAGCGATAATTTGTCGCCTAGCAAAGTAACGTCCGTTGAGAGCTTCCACAGCCCTCTGCACAGCGTCATAGGTGGAGAAGTGGACAAACACTTTGACAATAATTGTGTTCGTTTGCGTGTCCAATTGTTGGTGGAGAAGCACGCGTTCCACGTGGCCGTACTGAGAACATTCGCCCACAACCTCATCCTCGAGTTCGTCGTCGCAATCTTCGGGGCCAACCATATTGCGCAAGACGAGGATGCTTGGAAAAAGTAAAAGTTGACAACAACGATACAATACGATGAGGCAAGTCGAGATATAGATCACGGCTAAGAAAGAAACGTGCATTATTTGTAAAATCGTACTCTAAGTTCTCCGACAATAATCCCCAAATGCGAAGTTCACAGTGATATAATAAGAGGGTGAAGGAGAAAAAAGGTCGAAGGCGGCGTGCTTTAACAACCACTAAATGCTGTGCATACGGAACCTCTGTTGTAGGAAGTAGTGGCCTCATGGGGTCGGCCACTGTCCTCTGCAAGAGTGATAATCTGTATGACAGTAAAAAGTGAGTTGTGCATTATCGTAATCAGCTTGCAAGTCATGACGATCTGCCACTATTGTTCATCGCTTAGTGGCACAGGCTCCTGGCTGGAAACGCAAACCGGGGATGCGCACCAATGGCTAGTACCACATAAACGAAACGGCCGTATAGCGCTTTTCCGGAGCTGGCTTGTAAGCCACTGCAATGAACTCAATAATCTCATAAAAATCCCCTTCCATATTAGTTAACAAGTATGTCTAATTAGAAGATTTGTGGCCGTCGCATAGTTTTCACGACAGATCTTTTCGATAAGCAGCAGACGACGGCCCACAGGGTCTCTAGTGTTCGGGTAAGTGCTACCTGTTGACTAATCTGTAACAAATTGTGTACGTTGAGGCATGTCAGTCTTGGCGAGAATCGATGGCTCCAAGTAGAAGTGGATGAACTGAGGTTGTCGACAGGGCAGGATCGGTGCCCAGCGATTTCGTTTGAGGCGAAAAAAGCCTATTTGAAGCAACGTGGAGTGGAGGTGAAGTTGGAATTGGGATAGAAAGCAGCTAGCGCAATGAATGGGGTAAGAACACGCGAAGGCTTGAGCAGTAGCATCCGTACTCCTGTCCATCCCACGTGATGAAGCAGATAAGCGGATGACCAGAGCAACAAGGGATCATCTGAGGAGTTTAGCACAACACTGCGCAGGCGGGACACTGTCAGAGGCTTAGACAATAGACGGGTTAGAGTTCTCAACTACACCTCTTAGATCAAAAACCTGACCGCAAAGCAGCGGGAATTTGGTAGTGGGCAACTGGGTGTCCGTTTTAAGGAATAAGAAGTCACCGTCACTCCATCCCTCGAGATGGAGGGACAGGAGACTGAGTTTGCCTAGCTTCCAACCAGTGGCTAACCTGGTATGAGTAAATTCAAATGTGCAAGAAGAACAAGCCAGCGTAGCTCAACGGAGCATTGAGGCACGTAAACCATCGCAACACGAGAAAATCTATCCCCATTGCAATTTTGCCACGATAGTGAAGCTATGCGTATTAGTCAGCCCCGGTAGAGTGCTTTTCTAAGCAAGTATACATCTTGGACTAAGAAACATTACAGAAGGTAGGGCAACAGTGGCAAAGATAGATTCGCAACACCTGACGCACGTCTAGGAACTACTCTGTGTGTGTGTATGCAATGAGATTGACAGCCGGTGAACATCCGGATCGCTGACCTGGTATAAGTGCCACTGCTACAAACCCTAAAACAACCTCAGAAATTATTGTAGCTCATTGCATTCCTTCGTGTTTTACTAGCTCAGCACACCGAGAAGTTCCGGCCCATGACCTTAAGGATCATAAACCTGTCTCGTGATCCTGAGGCCGAAAGTTAGAGTCTGCATAGGGGACCAGGCGACCCTAGCAGAATCCTCAGCTCACGTGTGACTGGCGGTGCTTGCGCGGGAGTGAGGCGTCGGAACTGCGTACCGGCATACTGCAGATGCTTTCACCGAGATGTGCTACAGTCGTTGATCTCGTAGGTCAGTCTCTTCGGGAGTAGTTTCCGCGAGATGAGTGTCGCGTTTCAGCAAATCTTAGCTGAAACTGGCCGACTCATCCCAAACCGAGTCCACAAAATCGGTGGTGTCCGTTGATTGTCTACGGAGTCACCAACAGCGCTACCTTAAAACTATGATGAGACTTCGCTGCACTAATGATCAACAATAAGGAGGAGAACTCGAGATAGCCTAAATGTGCTTTGCAAGCACTCAAGATCTAGGTGTCTAGAACCTCGCCAGAAACGCACGGCCGTAAACAGTTGGCTGTCGTTCGAGGATAAGTCAGGCTTTTTACTGATTCGCATCGTAATCCACGTTATCGCACAGAATACTCAGCATCGAGCACACTTCATACAGTAGTCAGACGATGAGACAACAACAAGCGATTCACTGGCACAGATCGTCACCCGATTAAAGGGTGGATCGCGTGAATCCAAGCCTAAGCGGTGAGAGAGGCCGATCTGATTCAATCCAATGATCAGAGATTTGACTTCCTACTGTCATGGCAACGATTGTTCGCCTCGATATTCATGTACCATCTTGGATCAAGTGGGCAAAACCATGCTTCCATTCGCCTTGCCAACGTCACCTGCGTAGAACTGGTGCCAACCGACACTAACAATGCTCCGCAGAGAACGATGGTCCGATTTAGAAGGGGCCATATTTCACTGCGATCCTGGATCCACTAACTTTAATAGCAAGATGGATCTGCTTCGCGCGTTGGAGGTGATGTAGTCTTGGAGTAGTCAATATAAATGAAGTTGTCAAGATTGAGGTATTGATTAGCTGTCCCCAACGAACCGTCGCCGAAGTTCAAAGGAGTTGGTGGTCATGCAAAGACAATCCGCCCCTTGAAGGTGCGAAACGAAAAGTGTTTGTCTTGCTGAGTTCCCGCTAACGAACTGGTAACTGATACAGTTATATTCTGGTCACAGCGCAGCCACTTCCTAACTCCGAAGACAAAAGCTTCGCATTATTTGGCTCTTGGCCAATGAATTTCCAGCTAGGTTGTTTTGGACCTTCAATGAGATTACCGTATGGAACCAAGCTGGAGCGGCTTCTATGAACGGGCTCTCTTAACAATCCACAGCTGACTTTTCTGCTTTGCAATTGTCAAACAACAAGGCGATGTCATCCGCGCAGCTAGTTTCCTTGCGAATCGGATGACCCTAATACCTGTATCGTGAAACCATGGTGGAGTCTGTGATAAAAATGAACAGAAATGTAATGAAGCGAGACAGCTCGGACAGCGTGAATTGAACGACTTAACCATGTTGTACAGTCCTCGAAGTGGATGTCTACCAGATCGTGAGTAATAGCTTGTGCCCCGTATACCGGTGCCAAACAATTGATGGACAGCTAAATGTGTGGTCAAAGTTGCTTCCATGTGAAAAAAGCATATTCGAAAACCGCTAAATGGAGCAAAGAAAATGCCACAAGTATGGCCTCTAAAATTAGGCGAACGAGCGGATCGGTATCCCCAATGCACCAAATACGACTGAATGTCGGTCATAGCTACTTGATTGATGAGGAAGTGGTTTGCAAGCGAAGTACCCAGTCCAGCAGTGTATGACAAGTCTGGATATAACGCTAACATATAGAAAGGTACTAAAAGCCTAATTCCTCTGATATATTATGCGACGTTGATACGCGATGGCCTCCCCTGTGGAAAGGTCTACAGAGTCAGGGCTATCATTGCAGTAGTGACATTGCGATTAGCTTGGTTAAAAGCCGGTGTGGGGAGCACGTGGAGCACCCTGTGATTGCTTGCTTGCTGGGTTCATTCAGAGCGATCCGGGCACCAAAGCACGACGGGTCCAGTTGTCCTGAGTCCCGTCGACATGCGGAGAAGCACTGGAACTGACCGCAGTACGCACTTCCCCCGTCCATCATGGGGTTATGGGTAAGCGCGAACCTAATCACGACGGTTTGCGGTTAAAATCACAGCGGACAGTAACGTCCGGTAACAATAAGTGCCTACTCGTGATATAGCAATGATCACTCCCCACTGGCTTGCGATTTGTTGACGTGAAAAGGACAGGATAGCCATTACAAATGACATTTTTCCAAGCATAGGCTGTCATAACTAAACCTCCTACTAATCCCCTGAGACCGCATCACTGAAATCCCAGAGAAGGCAACGATAAAAATAGGAAAGGAGACAACCAGGGCGGATTGCATCTGCAGACCGGCAAGTGTGCCGGTCCCGATGGTTCCCGCCTGAAGTATTGAAACACCGCAAAACCGCGTTCGTAAATGTGCACAATAAAATAGTTGTCTCACAGACTAGTGTTCTCGCACCGAAACGACGGGTGTTCAGCAACCCACCATCAATACCGTGCTCCACACGAACACCGTAAGCAAAAACCGATTCAAAAGCACAAGACATCATTGCATGAAGATATACATTAAACAGGGCAGGAGCTAAGACACAGCCTTGCTTCACACCAGAGACAACTGCAAAGTCATCCGAGGTCTCTCCACTCAGTTGTACCCTCGCTCGCATACCATTGTGCAGACATTCAACTAAACTTACAAGCTTACTCGGGCAACCAAACTTACCCAACATTAGCCACAATGCCACGCGGTTCACCATATCAAATGCTTTGGTGAAATCAACAAAAAGCGAGTACAGTGGCTGGTGTCATTCTCTACACTTCTCCTGCAACTGACGAGCCGCAAACACCATATCGATGGTGCTGCGACCCAAACGGAATCCACACTGCTCTTCCGCCACGTTAGGTTCCACAACCTGACTGACGAGGCAGTTGAGCAGGATTCGGGCAATAACCTTGCCCACACAACTCAGCAAGTTGATGCCACGATAATTCGTGCAACATTGCTTGCTCCCTTTGCCCTTGTACGGTGGTAGCACAAGTGCATCCTTCAGCTCAGGAGGCACTTCCTCCTCAATCCATACGCTTTACAGCAAGTGATGCAGCGCAGTCAATAACGCGGGTCCGCCGTGTTTCAATAATTCAGGTGGGATTTCGTCGGCCCCAGAACACTTGCCGTTTCGCAACTGAGCAAGTGCTCTCTGCGTCTCATCTAGTGTCGGCTTGTCCGCCACACTCACCTTCACATCGTGCTGCTTCAGGCCGTTCAAAGTAGGCCAGTCGATCTCTGAACAGTTGTTCAAGAGACAGTCAACATGTTTTTGCCAGATCTGCATTATGTCTGCAGTCTGTGTGCAGGTAGCGCCTGAACTACCATCGATTAGCGTTCTCAGTGGCTCCAACCTCGTTCCATAGACCGCCTTCAGGGAGTCAAAGAATTCCTTGTGTTGGCGGTGTTCGGCGCAGCATTCCATCTGCTTCGCCTTCTCCGTCCACCATGCATTTTTAATGCGACGAATCTTTCGGGTCAGTCGCCATCGAAGTTTGCGAAACTGACTCCACTTCCCCAAGTCACTGGGGTCTGACACATGTGCAGCAAATGCTGCATTCTTCTCACACACCAATGCGCCGATCGTCGCTTGTCCTCATCCTACCAATCGGGCCGCTTACAGTTTGTGGGCCCTATGGTCTCCTCAGCAGCAGCTGTCACTTGGTCGCGAATGTGGTGCCACAGGTCGCGCACTGTGGCTATGCAGTCCACATCACACAGGCGTGTAGCCATCGCCTTCTCCAGCTCAATAACTTTCGCCACAGCACCGAGGGAGAGAATGCTAAATTTACGCCAATTCACGGCAGGAATGCAATACATAGATTTACGAAAATATATATACAGTTTGGTCCGCATCAACTTGTGATCAGTGCCACACTCAGCTCCACGCAGCACACGTGCCATGCGCACTTCACGCATATCACGCTGACGTACGATGACATAGTCGAGCAGGTGAGCGTGACCACTCCGTGCGTGCGTCCAAGTTGCTATATCACGCGCACTCAGTGCAAACCGAGGGTTCGTGATCGTCAGACCGTGAGTGGCACACAGTGAGAGCAGCCTGTCACCGTTCGCATTCCCTGAGCCAATGCCATGCGGACCGATGAGATCTCTCCACACCGATGCATCACGCCCAACGCGCGCGTTGAAATAACCCAGCAGAAATAGTCGGTTGCTCCTCGGCACAGACCGTATCACGGAGGATAACTGAGTGTAGAATTGATCACGCGTGTCATCTGGATAACACGTGGTCGGACCGTACGTGCTTATGAAAAGTGGCAAACTTACCTTTTCCGAGTTGTAGGCGAACAGTCATCAGTCGCGCTAACGCCTGTTGGTTCATCCACCAGCTGGCCATTTAGGCGATCAGATATTAAAAATCCGACCCCATGTTTACGTGGTGCTGAGGTGGTGTTGCGCACTCAGTAGAACGTATAGCCAGCACCAGCTTCATGCAACTTACGCCGCAATATCGATGTTGTAGCGCGCCAGTTCCATTGCGACTAGTGCAGTGCGTCGCTCGGGACGCTCACTTATATCCCGATCGAGCAAACTGCACACGTTCCAGCACAATGTTGAGCGTTCTGCGCGCAGGCATACGATTGCGTTGGGGGGCAACGTATGAGAGGTGACGTCCTGGATTGGAAGAAGTAGTGGGTTAAGTGAAACGGGGACGGGGAGCGAATGTGCAGGGCAACTGGAAATAAAAGGGGGCCAGCAGCAGCATGTTTTCGCTTATCCACCCCGCTGTATGCAGCAGATAAGGCTGGCCCTTTTCCTAAGGCCACTGCGCGACGGCCGATGCAGCATGGATTTATTATTATTGGCGTAATTCATGGTTGGGGGTTGGGCTAGGATACTTCCAAGAGGCCCACAGCTGACAGGAGAACGATTAGGGTGCTCAGCCAAAGTCTTGGATAAAGTATACACCCGAAAAGCGGCGAGCCGAGTGCCATGAGTCAGTGAGCCGACTCAAGCGGAGGCGTCCAGGAAATGAGCCCACAGCACAATATATATATATATATATATATATATATATATATATATATTCGAGAAACCCATAACAAGTAAGATAAATTAACGTATTAGACAGTGTGTTTGAAAGCATCGGTGTTTAGTCGGCCTTTATGGACAATTGTTACCAAGATTCACTCGTCAATTTCCTATATATATATATATATATATATATATATATATTTCAAGCATAAAAGTCAATTATTTAAAGAATAGCCATCTTCTTGAATAATGTAATTTTGTGAGAATCTGAAGAGGTGGAGAAAATATGTTGAATCTCCAAAATACACATTTGGGTAGAGCTTGAGTTCAGACCACGATTCAATGGGTGCGACCTAGTAAAGAACCGCTTCAGCCGTACGGCAGTGCGGCCTCGGTGACATGTAACCGGAAGCGCTTGTACGCAAGACAGGGGATGTCGCTGGAGAGCATGAGGTCATACAGGGGACGGAGATCAGAGGCTTTGATGCACCGAGGTTGCAATGTAGGCTCGCACCGGAAGCACCTCACGCTACGGGTTCTATAAGCAGTATGTGGGGGCAGAAGGAAAAATCGGACTGTCACTGGGAATGACCTGCAAACGGAATTCACGAGCGGATGACTACTCTGAGACCAACTGAGTGAGGTATTCGGCTTAGCAATTGATCGAAGGGGTGTTTAATTTTTTGCAAAGGGTCGCAGACACACAAAGAGCACATACCAGATCATACATACCAGCACAAGTCCCAAAGTGTACGGATAAAATGCTTACCCAGGGACGGGTGGTGGTGGCATCGGCGCATCGACGAATGAGCTCCTTTTGCCTATACCAACGGAATTCTCCGATGGTACTGGAATGTCAGTCGGAGAGAATCCGGTCAGGGATGCATTCGTCGTTTGATGTGCAGCCGAGTCCCAGGAGCACAGTGACTGGGGTGTGACCAACTGTGGTTGGCGTAGAGGTGAGTGGTTCAATGAAGATGGACCTATATGAATGAATGCACAAGATGCAACAGAAGAATGGTTTAGGCGGTTAAAAAGAAGACGACAACAGGAACAGGTCCTTACGAAATGGGTGCAAAATTTGTCAGGTGTTGTGTGCGCACTCACTTTGTAACTGGAATCCCGTAACATGCGAGCTGCGCGTGGTTGGGCACCGAACACCCAGAGGTAATGCGATCTCAGCCGAATATATGCCGAGTGTAGAGTCGCCGGACATGTTCGACTGAGACGGTGACTGTGTAGCATTGATTGGAAGCTAGTATCCATGAGGAAGAAGATGTAAAGATGAGAAAAACATTAATGAATAGTAGGGAGAGTTGTGTGTTATTGGAGAAGATTCGTCGTAGCTACACTCAGCATGACAGCTACCAAACATCCAGGAAAACGCTAGACGGCCGGTTCGTACTATTGTGCCTCGTCAATAGCGCGCACTCGCCGAACCCTGGCGGATTCGAACCTATGACCTTACCCTTACGAGTCAGCTACTGAGCCATGGGCATAAGTTGCTAACTTTTAAGAGTAAGGTCATGTGTGCGAATCCGGCAGGATTCGGTGAGTGCGCGTTGCTAACGAGTCCCAATAGGACGAAACGGGTGTCTAGCACTTCCTGGATGTTTGGTGACTGTGAAGCTGAATGTAGTTGCGACGAATCTTCTCCAAGTATAAGGCCAAACGCGCACTTAAGGTTTGGTAGAGAGCGTTGTCACTGCGTAGCACGGGGGTTCAAGGATCAACCAAGGAGATGAAGCTAAGGAGAATTCCGACGGTAGACAAATCTCAAAAGACACATGTTCATCCATTAAAGAAGAGGGTTCAGAATAAACTAAGGAGGATGCAGTGAATGGTTGCAATCACATAATTGTGATATCGAAACAGTTCCGTAGGTACAGTCTACACAAATACGACCGAGGGGTGGTCTCTCGGTATAGAAAATGAACATCATGAATTAAGGTGAACGACAACAAAGTTTGGCGTTCTCGTCACACATCGCCCAACCGCGAATGGGTCAGTGGAGTCCATAATGAATACTGAGAATAGAGAGCGAGAAGATAAAAAAGCAGTGTTGCTCCATCGTAGGTGGACCGGATACACGCGTGGAATCACGTCGCCGATACTGCGCGGTGGCAGCATATTGCAGCTGCACTACATCTTATCTACGTACGATACGCTCCCTGTACCTGTAGTCCGCAAAGTGGGCATCAAGGAATCTCTTAAATTCCGCCACCGATTTTGCCTCAACGAGTGTCTCATGCAACTTGTTCCGATATTTCACCACACGATACTCGAAGCATAGAGGGTGAGCAATGCGCTTTAAATCCGGTACCAGTAGTTTGTACCGGTGTCCGCGTGTGTTGCTTGGTGCGCGAACGTGTAGCAGCGGCCTCAACATAGGGAAGTGGACCAAGTGCAGTATCCGGTGCGTCATTATGAGATCAACTCGAAGCAGACGATACGACAGAGTATTAAGCCCTAGTCTCCTACATCGGTCCCCGTACAACACACCCCGTAAACTGGGGATGAGTCGCGTAGCTACATACTGGACCCGTTCCAGTCTATGCACGTCACCTATTGTGATCGGACAATAGGCGCGTGTACCATACTCAAGTACCGGCCATATTATGGAAGAAAACAGACGGGTGGCAAGCGTTTCAGACAAAGTGCAGAAGTTGCGTCTAAGTGCACAAAGCAGGCGTAGTCCGTTTGCGTACAGTCTGTTCGTGTTATCGACAGACTTCAAATCACAGCTTGGGAGTATGCCTAGATCCTTTACGGAACTAGTGGGACGAAGCGGGTGGCCGACCAGGGTGTACACACGCCCATTACCACGCTTTCCCAGTCTCATAACCGAGGACTTGGCCGGGTTGACCGGTAGGTCAACTTCTGCAGATCACCGGGAAAGGCGGTCGAGATCACAGTCGCCGAGAGAATCAACAATCCTCCGAATCTTCAGGACGTCTGAAAATAATGCGCAGGGCGACCGAAGAGGTTGAGGTACTTCGTCGATGTGGATCAGGAACAAAATGGGCCCCAGTACTGTACCTTGGTGTACGCCGCAAGTGGACGGGTACCATTCCGTTAGGTGGTTATGCACCTAAACCCGTCATCTTCTCTCAATAAGGAAGTCAGTAATCTACTAGTGCAGTGCGCCACCAACACCACACATCCTGCTTGTGGAGCAGAACCTAATGGTTCACTTTCGCGGAAGCTTTACTGATACCAGTGTAGACAACATCCACTGACTTCCCCCGGTTCCACGCTTGCAACCATTCCTGCCGCGTCAACATCAGGGTGGTGATGCACGAGCGGCCGTTCATGAAGTCGTGTTGTGTCGGCAGTAAGAGGTCTTTCGAGTCCAGTAGTTGGAGAAGACCCTTTTCACAATCTCCTCGAGCACCTTCGCCAAAACAGAGGTGAGACAAAGCAGCCGGTAATTGTCCACACTGTGTGTGTCACCGTCTTTTGGAATCGGCTTCAACAGCGAGCATTTCCAGTTGCTAGGCAATACACTCTCGGACAGTGATCTGTTGAACAGATCCTTCACGGCAAACGAGCTTATGGTCGATAAGGGCTTTAAAATTAGCGGGTGAAGTCCATCGGGTCCAGCAGGTTTCGTGCCGTCGAGACTGACGAGTAGACTGCAGACACCGCAATTCAGGCCCTCGAGTTAATTAGAGGCTGCACATGTCGAGCTCGGCATAGGCTTATGCCCACTTGTAAATACGGAAGCGAAGTGCTCCGCCAATGCGGACGCAGATTCGGTGCTGGAGGTCAGAGGCTGTTTTTCAGTGTCATGTAACACAGCTACGTAGCTTGCGGGCCTCAGGCGCCGCTTCGTAAAAATAAAAATCTTATTGAGGGCCGTCTTCGCTGAAGTCGCAAGCTCCTCTTCGAACTGCCGACGCAGTTGCGCTGTTGCATAGATTCCGCTGCCTTTTGTACGCCTCATAAACGTCGGCAGAACCAGACACGAGGAATTCATTCCACAATACGCGTCGCCGTTAGGCCAATTGACCATACTCTCTGTTGAAGCAATGTGGCTTCATTAGTCCAGCTTTCCGATATTTGAGGGGTACGAAACGAGCACACAACGATTGCACACCCTCTTTCATAACAGACCAACAAGCTTCAACAGATGAATCACGCGGCAGCGACCAGTCCACTTCACTGGCAACTCGATTGAGACCAGGTCGGCCTTCCAATAAGAGCAGGACGGCTCTGGTGGATGGGCAGCGGCATCTCTAGGCTGGCTAACACCATCGAGTGGTCACTAGCTACCAGAGGCTGCAGGACCTGAATTTCATATACACGTTGCTCGCAACTCGGAACCGAATGCGGTGTAATGCGCGTCGGTTGGTAGACATGTTGTGCTGCCCTATTTTCAAATACCATCTCCGCAAACTGCGCCTCGATTTCGCAGTGCCCAGAGGGAAGTTGAACCTCAGGCCACTATATTCGAGGGAAGTTAAAATCACCCATAAGCAGGAAGCGGGACTGACTCATGTGGTTTCTGACATGCAGTAACCAATCCCGACATCGACTTCACGGGATGCGATAAGCCGCACCGATAAACAGTTCATCCTGTCTCAGGCGGATCGAGCACCATAACTGTTCCAACAAGCCATCGTCGCTGCGGTGGGTTTGTACCAGTCTCTCGCACAGCGAGGACCGAATGTGTAAAAACTGCACGCCCCCTCGATCATTTGATAGTCTGTCGCACCGGAAGCACGAGTAGTCAGTGATCTGGACTTCCTGCGTAGTGACCTCAGGATTTAACTAGGTTTCGGCCAGTCCTAGTACGTGCGGACGACGATGGGCAGAGAAATGATGTACATCGTCACGTTTGTTCATTAAACTACAAACATTTGTGAACGCTACACGCAGGCCGCGGTAGGAACCTCCTGGCACTCATGAAGCGTTATCGACCTGTTGACCTGGGTTCGGCGGACCCGCGAAACTACCCGAAAATTTACAGCGTTGAGAGTGGTTTCTCCATTATCAGTCCGCCGCCTCAATTCCATGATAGCGGACTTCCGTTTTTCTCTGTCCGACGGATCCAAATCGGGATGAATATGGATCTGTAGACCTCAGCCTACAACTCGTTGCATCAACAAACGAGACTCACAGATGCCGGGAATTCCCCTCCTCTTTTCCCAAGGCGGGTGATTTGCTTCACCTGCAACCCCTGTTCACTCACGTCGAGAAGCCTATCAACCAGACTCTGCAAAAAATCCACATCGTGGCCATAATGAGCCTGAGGACTAGCATCTGTCGACTCAGACGCGTGAAATATCATAAGGTTACAACGTCGCTGGTTGTTGGCAGTTGTCCTCTCCTTTTTATTACGCTGCATTCTCCAATAGCCTACAATGTCTGCGCTATCGCACACCGGTATGTTAGTGTCCGTAGGACGCAACACAGGTACGCCAACTGAGTCTCAAGCAACGGGTGGACATTGCGCTGAAGAGCCTGCAGCAGGTGGGCTCGTTCGAACATAGAGGTGGCTGGGTTTCCGCTTGCTTGGATGAACTCACAGATCCCCATCCCATGGAACGTTTCGCCAGTCTTGTAGCCTCGCGCGGCTTTTCCGCTGTTTGTGACCGCACAGTGGCTTGGCACTTCTTGCACAATATTTGGACAAAATCATGCTGGATTTCACGCAGTAGTTTAAAATAATTTAAAGACAAACCAATGCACGAAATGTGGAAATTCACACCACACATGAGGCACGTAACAGCATTGGATCTATGCTTAACCATTTTGCAACAAGGGCCACAGGGAGTCAACTTTGTCATTACTGATAGCTTAGCAGATGTGACAATAAAGGGGGTAAATTGATGATAAGTACACGATACAAATACCACAGTAAAATGTATGGACACGACACTAATACACAATAAGCAAATTCAGAATCTTAAAAGAAATTGAATTTGATAAGAACAAACACGAAAAATCTGCTCCGCACAGATTAATGTACGATGCAAACTGGCCCGGAAAACAGGGCGAGAAAAGCCATCCGGCAAGTGTTATCCGTGAGAATTAACACAATTACGGTGTAAAGTAAAGTGTGGTTTTCCTTAAATGACATCAGATTCCTAAAACTTGCATTTTAAGTAGTACCCAAATCGACGAATTCAACGCCACCACAGTGAGAACAATTCGATAAAAATCATGTTGTTTCATGAAAGAGCACGAAGACTCCTATTGTCTTCGACGATGGATAAAGACCCCATCAAGTGAGCAAATATCCAGTGTAGA